CTCGCCGATCGGGAAGTCAGGGCGATGTCGCAGCACCTTCCCACGGATCTCGTTGTAGATTTCCGTGGTTACATTTGCAGACGCCACCGCCACGGCGTCCTGGAACGCAGTCGAACCCACGAACCATTCCGCACCTTGAGCTCGGGCAATGCTCACAGAGTGTGCGTGGGAGGTCTTCAGCTCGATCAGTGCCTCCCCGGCAGCGGTGAGGTTCCTGTCAGCCTCGGCGACCTGGTGTTTAAGAGAGTCCAGCTCGCGCTGAGTGCGGTCCCTGTCGGCCTCAGCCTTCCTAGCCCGCTCCTCAACCCGGGCGGCTTCTTCCTTGGCCGCCTGGATCCCGCTTTCCTTTTCTGCCCGCGCTCGATCCAGCTCCTCCCTGAGCTCGTTATTCCTTGTGGCGAGCTCGTCTGCCCGGCTCTCCGCGGCAGCAGCTCGGTTCGCCATCTCAGAGCCTTGCAGACGATTCACATCGTCCACAAGGCTAGCCTTCTCCGTGGCCAGCTGCTTGCACTTCGAACCGAGCTCGGTATTCTCTGTACGAGCCGCCTGCTCGCTCTCGTACAGTGCTACCGCGTAGCTGAACGCCTGCCAAACAGTTATCACTGTTAGTCTCTAAAAAGAAAAAGCAAAACTGTCTAAGCAGATACGAGCAGATACTTACATCCATCAATTTTATCATCGCGACCTGCCTGCCATGCTGCTGCACAAAAGCCTTCGCCCGCTTATTGTCCATGGGTGGCACGAAGCTGTGCATGGCCTGCACCATGGCGGGCTGGCACTCTGCTCTTATATAGCTGAAGCCCTCAGGATAAGCAATCCTGGGGCCAGACGTTGAGGCCGGAGCAGAGGCGGGCTCCACTGCTGCCCGCACAGTCTTTGACGGTGCGTTTAGAGAACGCACAGTTACAGGACGGGCCGCTTGTGCGGGCTGAGTCCCCCCGCTCGTTCTGCGTCGTATGAGGGGGACCTCATCTTCACTCTCCGTCTCCTCGCGTGCGCGCCTGCGCTCGCTCGGAGCTGAAGCCTCAGCTCGATGCTCTGCTCGGGGCCTTGAAGCCGAGCTAGACCCCCGGTGTGACGAGCCGCGTGGTTGGGGCGCTGGGGGTGGCCGCTCGTCAAACCGTGTTTGCCAGGGCTGCGCGCTGCTCTCCCCACGGCCTCGGGAGCTCTGGGCACGTTGGCGCTGACGTTCCAATATGCTGCTCATCTCACCTGCACAAACAAATGCATAAGCCTCAGCTCGGCTAGAATCTAGGATATATGATGAAAATATACCTTGGCTGAACAGGTTTGTCACGTCGACAAGCCCGAACACGGCGAGATGCTCTGAGGTAACCAGGGCTTCTAAATCTATAAGACCCTCCCCCTGCGCATACTGAAGCAACTGGTTCTTCAGGTTGACATCCCGGGGCAGCAGCTGGGGGTAATTGATGTGGGCGTTCGGAGTTCGCCATTCTGACAGCCGAGCAGCGAGGTCGTTGCTTATCCTCTCTGTCCGCGTGTCGCAAACAAATACGGACTGCCTCTTCCATCTCGCCACTTTGTTCTGGACATTCTTGAACAATTGGCTCTTATCCCTCCCAGAGAGGTAGTACCATCTCGCTCCTTTTGAGTTCGGGCACAACCGGCACTGGAATAGCGACCTGAACACTATCGCTTTAGTTGGCACCTCCAATCTCGCGCACAACAGCATAAAGCCCATGATGAACCTTATGCTGTTGGGCGTTAACTGCGTCAGCGCCAGCTCGTACTCCGCCAGCAGGTCGAACACCAATCCGGGCAGGGGAAATTGCAGTCCGGCGTCGAAGTGGTCCACGTACACTGGTATCCAGCCCGTCGGTGACACTGTGCACGCCCTTTCGTTCTGCCTGCCCGTCCGCAGTAGTATGGTTTTGGGAATGTGGTACGCCCTCACCATCTCCTCGAGCCTTCTGTACCCACTTACGGAGGGCGTACAATCTGCTACTTCGTGATGAAGTGCAGCCTTGAACCTGAATCCAGCGGGCAGGTCCTTCGGTGCTTTTCGCATGTTGCTCAACCTGCCCGGGACGGTTCTGCTCTCCCATTCTCCCATCACAGGCCGATCTGAGACATGGCTCACTACATCCCCTGCCTCCTCCTCGCGGCCTGGTGTCCCCTCGGACAAGCTGCTCGATGATGTACTAGGGTGGTCGCCACCGTTGTCGCTGGCGCTGGAACTGGTGCTGCTCTCTGACGCCATTGTTTCCGGCATATCCTGCAACTCCGGCGGCACTACCATCGTGATAGGCTCCACTGACAAAACCCCCCCCCCTCTTCTCCCTCTCTGCCCTGGTTACCTCGTTGCTCTGCGAATTCTCTCAATGAAACCATTTTTACCTGAAACTGATGTGAAGGTTGACTCGATGTACTGATTCTTCAAGCTGGTGCGTCCTTGCTTCAGAGAATTTGAGAGAGTTTCAGCAAATACAGAAATGAAATTGGAAAAGGGAACGGTTACGAGAGAAACAAAGCCAAAATAATCGTATTAAATGCCGTACGCGTGTCTCTGACGCGCCAATAGGCGTCTTACACGTGGTAGGCGTTTAACCGCCTTTTGCATAACGTGCGCCGCCTCTGGCTATCACGCTCCTCAAACGCTGCGCCAGCATTTATGGCGAGGAAGGTAAAGAGATACGGAAGAGCAAACGTATC